ACTGAATATAGCACTGCATTTTATTAGCTACCAGAACGAAAGATAGTTGCGAAATACCCAGGTTTTACTCTCTCTGGTACGTCATTTGTTATCGTTAAGTTCATGAGCGTTATTGAGGAAACGGCAAACGAATGGGATGACAAAGCGTACATTCCAATTTTCCCGCACCCTCGAGTGATGTCGCGACACAGATTGTATGACCTACAAGTTTAGCACGCGATCTAAAGAGACCGGGGATTTCGGGCATCTCTTTTCGTTGTGCTGGAGTGAGCTTAACCATTCATTTCACACCATCAAACTCCTTATAACCCGTCAGGAACAAGCTGTACTACACCCGAATTGCTCCATATTACATCTGACGTCATGTTTTCAGTATTGCTAGCGGAGCCTCTCAGCTTCTGAGAACAAATCTGAAACTCTAATAGCTTGCGAAAAAATTAATGTAACTTAAACAAGTTTTTTTTTTTTTTTAGGTGGGGGGGGGGGGGCGTTCTAGGTCAGATGGTATATTATTGTGTTGTACCGAAATCGAGGCAAGTCAGTCGCTATCCATATTTAGCCGAAGCTCCTCTTTCACAAAGTTTGACAGCGACAAATAGTGATACTCCGTTTCACGTGTTGTGTACCATATATCACCATACGGTATTAACCGTGGGTGCCAACGTATGGCATTAGAAAGTACTCCGGTGGAACTAGTGGTTATCCGTGGGCGCGTTTTTCACAACGTGGGAATCACATGCACAACCACAACACACATATAAAATGAAATATATGATGTTTTCTCGAAAGTGGCAGTTGCACAAATGTAAGCATTTTCTGCGCCGTGAAAAGAACAAAAAGCGAAGCAACAATCCAGTCAGTCGGAAATAATATAATCTAAAAACTGAATGCCTGAAAATATCTATACACCTAAAAAAACGTCTGCGCTGTGGAAACTGCGCATTGTACCTGCCGACCTTATGCAGAATGGCACACCACAAACTGTTTTTTTTTTTTTAGTTCTCAATCTTTCAATTTAGCCATTTACCGAGCACTCTCCGTAGATTGCAGATGCCAATGGTTGCCTCTCACGAATGGTTCGCGCCAAAAGCAAGCGCACGAAATTTCATAAAAGTATAAGGTGGCGAAAGCGCTGCAATAGACCAAGGACACGAGGAAGAGATGTGCACACACAAGACACCAGCTGTCAATCGAATGTTCATTTCCAAAAGGTACGTGGAGATTAAGAAAAGGGGGAATAAAAGAAAATAAAACACGCAAAAACCGCACCCACGCCACACATTAGAAACCGTCGCCACGCAGATATGCCACTCTTCCATACCTTCAAGCACGCCAAGCGCTCTGAAAGCAAACATCAACCCAACATGTTTCCTTTAAATATATCAACCTCCTTCACGCGTTTTCATTCCAGTCACTTGAAGTATCATTTTGTCTACAATACATCTACTCAAAAAGCTCCTACCGCGCTCCAAGACCAACAGTGCAGCGGCACGGGTTCAAGGCTCAAAACGAAACGTTATCCCGGACGATACGAGGACCGTACGCGAGATATCTCAGAAAGCCGAGCCATCTCACTATGTAGGTCTACTACATCGTCCGGCGACTTGAACGTAGCGTAGCGATCTTAGCTGAGCCGTCACGCAGAGTTTACGTCGTCTGCCAGACCCTCGGGATGACGCTACTGCCTGTAAAGTACCCTTGAAATCTTGAGCGGCCCCGAATGGCGGTGTCTCGTTTCTTTCCAAGATGCCGTTTGTCCCGTGTATTTCGTTCATATCACCACGGCACTTCAGTTACACGAAGCTCACAGTACAACTCCCGACTTTATCGTTTCTGACATTCCTTTATTTATCACCAGAGGCAAAATGCGGACAGGAATAGAAGCAACGATAGAAGCGAAACATATGGCACGAGTAAAGCGTGCATTGGTTTTACCCTAACACCGCGGCTCCACCGCTAATACATGCTAAAGTACTCCACCGCTAATACATGCTTGGGCGAGTTGGTAGCGCTGCCGTCCGTGTTACTTCTTCGCCTGGTCCTCGTCTTTTCGCGCTGTTTTTAATTCCGCTAATACATCATGCAAAGGGCTGTTTGTAGACACTGTCCGTGTCCTTTCTTAGCTTTCTATAATGTAGGTGCAAAATGGGACTACGACTTTAGACTAAGCCTTATTATCTCTATACTGAAATGTCGGAGTCTTCGAGGTCGTATCAGCGCCTCAAGGTCCGCGTATGCAACTACATGTTTACACATCTACACTTCATTGCATCAACCCTCCGAATTGCGATTTAATAAAGTTATTACTCAAGATCTCTTTGTCAACTGTACACGATACTTCTGGTGTAGTTCTGGTTTACGACGGCAGAAAGATTGTGACCATCGAAGAGATTGTTGACACTTATTGGAAGCAGCCGTGTCAGTGAACATCAACATCCACCGACAAGTTATGCGAATTAACACCTACTGGTCAGATGCGAGAGGCCATATACGATTGCCTTCACTCAGCCAATGTTTTAGAGAAGAAAAACGCTGTCGTGGTGTTTCATATATAGACATACATAATTTTATGAAAGGGTGAATGTCCTTGTCTTTGAGAGAAATCCATGGCGCTGCATCTTCTTGAACACGATGATGACATGCCGAAATTTTATACTTGTTTGTCGTTGTTGTTGTTGGTGGTGGTGTTTTTGTTGGTGTTGGTGGTGTTGTTGTTGTTGTTGTCGTTGTTGTTATTGTTGTTGTTTTTGTTGTTGTTGTTTGTGGAAAGACAAAAACATCGGGAGATCGCATTGTCACGGGGTGGCAACTCGGTATCATTACATGATTATTTGCAAACAAATCCAAATAACAATAGGGTGCACCCTCCTAAAAAAAATGTTACGATCGCACTTAACCACCCAGCCACCGAATAGGTGTCAAAGTAGGCGCCCCCCACAACAACTCTGCTCTCAAAAGTGGCGATGGACTGGCCCGGGGCCAATTCGTTGGGAAACGCCTGAACGGACCGGCACCCTGTAGTTCACGAGACTCGAAATAGGTTTTCAGGATAGATGACTTAGGACAAGAGCGAGGTGGTAAATATTATGCCAAGTGACTGCATCCGCGGTCCTTTCTCAACGGTGGAGTTCGTAGAAAGTGAGAGCTCATCGACCGTTTGTCGGTGGGCTCGTTTATACGCCTGTCAAACGGGCTAAGTAAAGCACTTCAACGAAGTGCACTTCAGCTCACCGAATGTCACTTCAAGTGTTTCGGTGCCACACGGGATAAATTAGCGTCGCTCTAAAATTATGACAATAACGATGGGTAAACTACTATTTGACACTTAAAATATTAAAGTAAACGCATACTTTTTTCAGCAATATTTAGTCTTTTTAATAAAGACATGTTTCAAGTGAAATAATTACGCAAATTGGATGATTCTGATCGATCATCGCAGGTCAAGATAAAGAAAAATAAGATAAAAAAGAAGCAAACTCACTTGAAGCCGAGCGTGTTCTCCAGGAAGAAGCCATGTGACACACTACACAAGTGACACTAAAGGCGAAGTGCACTCCGTTGAAGTGCACTAAATTAGCCCGTCTGACAGGGGTATTACTCACAACTTTACAGCTATGTGTGTACCCTTTGTGCTTGCATTATTGAATGCACTTGAGTTTGGTGCAGCCCACTTTTTGACATTAAATTTTGTTTATTACGCGACTTCTTTATAAATTCATCTCCGTTGTCCCATTAAAAAAAATTCAACTTGTTAATAAATGATGGCAATGCTTTTCAGTTCCCTCCCGCTCTCTCAAAGAAAAATATGAGGTTGGAACTTTTCAATGAGGCCGATTCATAAGACGTGTCTGCGAAATAATATAGATATAAAAATAAGCTATTCGCCATTCTTTCAACGGTCCCACGCCGGGAGTAGACAAAAGTAATAACACCTGATCCATCTTTTTTTTTTTTTTCTTTTTTTTTTTTAACAAACCCCCCGAGACTTGGGAAAGGACGAAGGACAACACAAATTCACAACACACAGTCTCAATTTTGAGACTATGTGTGTTGTGTTGTCCTTTTTCCCAGCCTCGGGGCTTTGTCTAAAATTATGTTAAACCTTCACCAGCTCGTTTGCTTTTAAACGTTTTGTTCGTTGATCCATCTCTTTTTTTTTTTCTTTGTCCTAGCTTGTTTGTAAATGGTGGCATACCATTAACGCTTTTTTTACTTACTGTTCAAATATCTCGCATACAGGTACTAGAGTTGCTATACTTAAATACCGACAATAGTATCACGGTATGGCGGGGTTTTTATTTTTCTTTAGTACGCGAATAGGCAGGCTTAAATACCGAAAGGACTAGAGTTCAGTTATAATTGCCTATATTAGCCTATACAATTATGCTTTCTGTTCGTTTTCTCTACACCAGCCTTTCTTTTTTTTTATGTAAACTTTGGTTTTACCGATGCCTATCTAAGTTCTTATTTTTTTTATTTTTTTAGTTACAATAATGCGAACCCTTTACTCAGAAAAGACAAAAATGTTGCACGTCGCACTCTTTCATTCATAAACCCCCCAACGGATTTCTGATCGGCTGTCGCGGAAAACCCCAGAGACCCAGGCTTGTTTTAACTCCTTCACACGCGTCCCATATAGGTAATAAGTATAAAATACATATCTATAAATGATAATGAATTACGTTGAATTTTCTCAGAGAACAAAACATCTAAAGCCCGAAACCGCTTTCACTTACACAAATGTGGCTTTCATTTTTTTTTTTTTCTGTAGAAATTGTGTATATAGGTCATATCGATTGCAACTGGACAACTACCACACGTTCTAACCTCTCACCATAAACGCGCCTCAAAATAGTCCGAGGGAGGAGGAAAACTAACGGCACGTGATGTTGACGGTTGAGGGCCAGGGATCATCAACCCGGCTGTCTTGCCAAGTGAGCGCGGTGTTATCGCCTCAGCCAGGGTCGGGTGTGCTCCCGAGGAGACCGCGCTGCACGCCTCGTTGAAGTCACCGTCTTGTTTCCTTCAAGGAGACATGTCTCGTCTCACACGCGCCATGGGCTGCGGCATAATTAGCTAAAAAAGAAAGTTAACCCCACCCCCCTCCTTGCACCCGTTCCGGGGGACTACAAAAGGGACAAGGGGCGGTGGCGTTCCGACGGAGAGGTTTATTTTGATCGCTCACTCCGGCGTCAACAGTGAAGGGTTCCCGAAGGGTTCTTGTGTCGGTAGAGACACGCGAAGACGGTCGGAAGCCCGCATAGTCTCCTCGAGTGTCCACAACTATTCTCGACAAGCGACCATCATGACCGTAGGCGATAGGAACAAGGTGTACAAGGTAGGTCTCACCACAACCCTCATTGATGCAAAACTATTTACGTCATGGGAGAGAATCTGAATACTACTAGCATTTTTCGGTGACCATGGCATTTTTGTTTGTTTTTTCGGAGGGTGAAACGAGTTATACATATTCTTGGAGTTCATAAAGACCTGCACGCGATATATTCTGAAAGTTATTAGGTTGTACCGATAAGCAGTGCGTTCCTTTCGGATATACTATCTTTGAATCACTGCCTCCTACCATCTTTTATATAAAAAAAAAATCGTGACGCTTCAAAAAAAACATTTTATTGAATACTATTTTTTATTACTTAGTTGGGTTTTTTTGCATTTTTATATAACGAAAAGATACCTTGATAGTGATGTCTCTCAGCACAGCAAGCGTGCGGGAGACTGCTGTTTTTTTCCCAAGAACTCTCAACGTGGGTTCAATGACGTGCATCGGGTTCGAAGCAGCAAATGAAGAGAGGTGTTCGATTCAGAAACAATGTCCTACTGCGTAATGGAAGTATTGGGAGGATGTGGCACCTAAAGGGGGTACGCCAGTCCTACTGATGTGCACGCCAAATGACTCCGCTGGGAGCCGCACCGCGGCGCCACTGTCTTGTCGCACGTAAGTCGGACGCTTCCCATTCCCACACCACGGCCAATGAGACTGCTGCGTTACATTATGACAGCCGTAGAAGGAATCAGGCAGCGCACGAACCTAATAAACCCTCTCACTGACAAAGGAACAACTGCGTGGCTTATGTATTATGTCCACGGGCGTAATTCGTTCTTTGGCGTTCGTTATGAGTAACGCCGAAATCTGATTGGCTGCGGAGTGATAATAGGGAGCGTGCGGCAAGACAGTGGCGCCGCGGTGCGGCTCCCAGCAGAGTCATTTGGCGTGCACATCTGTTGGATTGGGGCGCCCCCTTTAGGTGTCGCGCGTTCCCGATAGGCAATGTTGCCATTCCAGAAAGTCACTATGGATCTGTGAGTAGAACGAGCTGGAGATTACTCCTTTTTTTGTCAATAACTGTTCAGAAAACATCGAAAGAACACGTTACTTCACCTAAAAGCAGATATGCCTCACTTGCCACAACAAACGAGCTATTCGGTTGTCCGAGTGTTACACCGAGCACTCATGAAACTTGCCGTCAAAATTTAGCAATGAAGGCCAGCGCTAAGAAGAATATTGTTACTCTTGTTAGGTCAAGTCGGCGGGGTTTTTTTTTTCTTTCTTTCTTTTTTAATATTGATGAGTACAAGCTTTTGTAACATTGTTGCCCGATGCTAGTAGCAGAATCGAAGCAGGCGTCTCTTGAGCTTGTGAGTTTCGTCAAACGTTGCTAACCCCACCTGCCTGATTCTCTGATTGTAGAGCCCCGAGCAAACGCATTTCCGACCCATTGACCACAGAAAGCTTGAATTGGTCAACGATGATAACAATTCATAACCATGTGATATCGTTCTTTTTAGTCGTAACTTTTGACTCACTTTTAGTTCACGTGTGGTGCCTTTCGCTTCTGCTATGGAATATGAGTTCGTCGTTTTATGGCCTTAACAACCTGTCAATTTTGAGTTAGTAACTTATCAGACATCATAGATGACAACAAGGTATACCCTTATAAACTATTGACTGAAAATTCCAATCAACACAGGAAAACATTAAAGCTCAATAGCGTTACCACCGTGAGACTGCAGTTCAGGTCCCATTTTACATCTTGACTTGAATGTCATTACAACGAATTTGTATACGAGGACACCAGGAATAAAAGCTTCCAATGGAAAGCTTAACTGGGTACAGTTTCCTGGATTGCGTTTCGCTTGTGTGTGAAAATTTTCTGTGTCAGCTATCACTACCTATTGGCGACCAGACCATCCCAGAAACAATCAGCGTTGGCCTAAAACCTTGCTTGCCGTCGAGTGCCCGAAGGTGATAATGAACTATTTCAAAATGTGCCGCCATATCCCGAAGCACAAAGCCCACAGACAAAAAAACGTGAAGGTGTTTACATCAGAGCGCTAGAGAAGATTCAGAACTGGAAGCACAGAACTGATTAGTTTTGTTGGGGACTGTTCGGTGATATTTGCCTCCTTGGTGCAAATTTGCATTTGGGCGTGCAGTTCGGGGAACGCTTCTCTGGCACCAAGACCCTGAGCGGACATGTGCAAGACTACGAGGTCCTACTCAATGAGTGCCTCCAGAAGAAGGAACTGTTCGAAGATCCTGAGTTCCAGTGCAAGGACTATTCCGTATTCGGTAACAAGGAACCTAACATGAACATTTCCTGGAAAAGACCGAAGGTGAGCATGAACGAATGATTGGCCTATGGGCCCCAGATTCTATATTTCACACACGGTCGGGTGTGAAATATTTCGCTGCAGCTTAAAGCCAGACTCAGGCGAAACAGAAAAAAAAAAGAAAATGCATGCCTTTGAAAGCATAAGTTTTGCTTAGTAGCTGGTACACAGAAACAACTTCTCATGAGCAAAACTTGATCTCGAGACCTTTCCTCTGTTTGGTACCAGTAGCACGACGTCTGACCTTTGCCTTTTCAATCTAGGATGACTAAATAATTGCCTTTGTTCGAATTACTGTCTGTGACACTCGAGATCAATAATAAAAACAATTTAAAGGGGCACTAAATTGCTTTTTGAGGTCATCGTTTTAATGTCATTTATTTTATTTGAATGTCTTATTTTATATAAATCAAATTTATTTTATTTGAATGAGATCAATTTCATTTGCATCACTCCAGCTTAGAAATAGTGAGCCTTTATTAGTAGATGTATTTTTAAACATGGCAGATTGATTGGTCATTCCATCCGATCAATGAACAAAATACGCAAGAAAGAATTGCTGTCAACTTAAAGCACAGTCTAATTTAAAGCCTTTAATTCTTGTAAGCCCAGTCATGCTAGAACAAGCTTTATTTACTTTTTCTTTTCCATTATGATTTGCTTGCAGTGGCACATTACGTAGCTGACCTAAAAAGGGCAGGTCGAGAAATATGATTTGCTAAGAAAAGCACCGCCTTTTGCTCATGTTCATTATATATAAATATTTCTTGCTTCATTGGTCTTTATTTATGTACAAAAATGAATGCCCACGAAAAGCGTGAAATGACAAACATACGGTAAAGAAAAAATTTTTTTGAGGAATATTTTTGCGGAAAAAGTTTGATTGAAATCACCATAGTAAAACAGTTATTATTTAAATCGCGATTTGAATCATCTTGATTTGTATGTCGGCCCTGCATGCTAACACTTAGTAATAAAAGTGGACGAGGCGACAAGCGGGGAGCGGAGGACGTCAATCTTTATTCAACTTAAACATTTTTTTTTATTTATCTTCAATTTAGAGAAGGGAAGGAAACTTAATTAGTTTCCCTTAGAAAAACAAATGCACGTTTAATTTTTCCTTGCTGTATAAAATGTTTTCCTTCCTTATTCGTTTGGAACAAAAAAATATATATAATTTTTTAAGGGTGTCGCTCCATATAAGTTGAAGGATATAAGGTGCTGGTGTGTACTCATGCAGGAAATCCATGAAAATCCTGTGTTCAGCAAAGATGGCTTCAGTCGCTTCGATGTCAAGCAAGGCAGTCTCGGTAAGAATATATTTCACTGTTGTATACGAGCGTCCTTAGGAACAAAGGAAATAAACAAGACGCAAAGAACGAAGAGCCAAAGTTTAAAAGACTTAGAAAGAGAAATCGCGTTGGAAATTCTAGACAAAATACGATCACATCGGCCAACGTTCTTGCTTTGGCATTCATGCTCATTCATTGTAAAACGTCGCATATTGGGCGGTATCGGAGTGGGTCGGGTGGCCGAGTGCATGGGCTAGCTTATACCAGCTCGGAGCACGCGGAGCGAAAGCTCGCGCCGCAGAACACAGAGATCCTGGGCTCAATCCCCATCCCTGCCCGTTTCGATCTGGATGAGGATCGTGCCGGCGTGCGGTCATGTATCACTGCCGTGTGGTGCACGTTAAAGACCCTAGGGATGCCCAAACAGCGGCTCGCGAGTCCAAGTGTGGCTCGAAGCACACACCCCTCGCCTCCCCAAACACCTAACCCGCCAGATCAGAAGGAAAGAGTTATAAAATAAGACACCTTGCATTTTACTAACACTGTGCCCCCACTGTACAGGTACTGCTGTAGGCCGCACTCTTCTCAACAATGAAGGCGGTAATATCGAAAAAGCGTGCGACTTTCAAGAAATTGGCTGTGCTGCTGCTCGGGACTGCAATGACGGAATTCGAGTCGAATTTTGATGTGCTTGTTTCACACTGGCACGTAGCCAGGGGGAGGGAGGGGAAGGGGGGGTTATGGGGCCAGAGCTTCCCCTCCCCCCCCCCCACCCCCCGAAATCTTCCATTTCACTGAGACCTCCTCTCCCCCCTCTCTTTCATACAGCATTTCGTCATGGGCAGCCCCCCCCCCCCCTCCCCCAAACCAAATTCCTGGCTACGTGCCTGGTTTCACACATGGGACGGAACATAGAAAAAATATAATGGGCGATTGCTTTATTCTCATTTCATTTATTTCACCCTTAAATACCCACAGGGACTTTACATAAGGGGGGGGGGGGGGAGGCAAACTTAGACACTCAAAGTAACACGACAAACAAAAAAAGGATGTTTGTAAACACGTGCAAACAGGACGCTAGATGGTGACGAGAGAGGAAACTGCGGATCTGAAGTTATTGCATTCTGGGATGCTCACAATAGGTTCCGGGAGGTTGTTTCATAATAATACAATAATAACAGTGTTCATTTCCAACATAAGATGATGGTGGCGATCAGGAAAAAAAGCTGTGAGGTACAGCTTGACGGGTTCCTGACCGCCTAGAGCAGCAGCAACAGAGTGAGGAAATAATGCACCAATCAAAAGAGAAACACAAATGTACAGAAAATGATCGCTATCACAACATTATAAGCACAAGACTTTAGATTATTACAATGTTGACATATTGGGAATGACGGGCAAAAAAAAAATAAGCTCATAGTAATATTCAGTGATAGCCAATTGTAAGGGCGAAAATTTAAATAGGTTAGTTTTAGGTGTAGTCAGTTGAATTTTAAATAGATGATCGTTTCGGGGGGAGATGTGGGAGCCCAGTGGGTAGTGTTCATCTTTTTTTAAAGGAAAATTGTAACACATTTTGTGCCGGTGGGTAAGACGTGATACTTTTCTCCTGTGCTCTAAATAGAAAGGTTTCATTTACCTTTCATTACGGCAACACTTGCAGGCTGATAATTGCGGAAAATGAAACGTGTCGCCCGGTTCTGTACAGCTTCCAATTTTTCTTCTAGATACAACTGATGGGAGTTCCAGAAAATGGATACATACTCGAGTTGAGGACGGATGAGAGAATTATATGCGATGAGTTTTGTTTCTTGCGTGGCCTTAAAAAATGGCGCTTTAAAAATCTCGAACTTCTGTTTGCATTCGCAGATATGTAGTTTATATGAGGCTCCCATGACAAGTTAAGGTTAAAGTGGATGCCAAGATACTTGTAGGGTGTTACGGCTTCAATTGGTATGGTAGAAAGTGAACAATCAATCTAAGTTACGTTTTGTTTTTTGATTTTGTAGTGAAGTTAAGAAATTTCGTTTTGTCAACATTGATCGCCATTTGCCATTCCCGACACCAGACTTGAATATATGACAAGTCATTTTGCGAAAGGGTACAGCCGGTTGCACTCATTTTTTTCTATAATGGACCCAGCACGGTTCTCTGCAGTACTCCCGATTTAACAAGTTTTTGTGACGAACAATTGTTGTCTATAACAACGTTATGTGTTCTGTTTGAAAGTAAGTTTTCAATCCAGGTTATAACGGACGTTTCTACTTCAAGTGCTTTTAATTTTTAGATAAGACGGCAATGTGGGGCAGGTTTGTAAAGAGTATATTGTTTACAAATAAATAATTCATTACATTAGAATAAACGACATGTTCTATCAATTCACTTACAACAGAGGTTAAAAATAGGTGTCGAAAATTTGTATGGACGTCTTTGCTCCATCTTTAAAAATCGGGGCAACCATTGTAGATTTCCAGTCAGCCCAAACAACACCAGAATCAAGGTATTTTTGAAATGTGCGGGATAAGAGCACACTAGATATCTCCCTTGTGTATCGTGAGCAACTTTGTAGATATACCCTCACAAACATGGATCACCAACTAGCCCAAGTGCAAATCCTTCTATTGTAGATATAAGGTCAGCACCGGGAGCCAAGTTAGATGGTAAATTTGATATTAAGTTTGAAATTCCGTCATTTGTTATAATGATCTGATCCATTTGGGTGGTTATACGATATTCTGGGCAGTGAAAGCGTAATGGAAATAATTCATCAGTGAACACTTCACTAAAGAAAGCACAAAGCAGCTCACAAGTCTCGGTTGTCGGTAATTATAAAGTCTTCAATATGAGTGCCATTCGGTGTGGCTAACTGAAATTAAAGTAATAAAAAACTGCCTTGCCCCCATTTAAGTGTGGCACTTCGTTAAAATGGTACTACACCTAAGTTGCGTACAGACGCTGTCAAACAAAGTTGAAGGCTACAAGAATATCGGCTCATTGGTCGCAATAAATATTCCGAGCAACTACGAAATATGTATATCATAATTCTGATTTTAGTCACATGGCTTCCCTAGGCTTTATTACCCCCCCCCCCCCTCCTTTTTGTACCTTCATGCAATTATCAAGCTCTTGCGTGACACGCAGCATGCATAGTATAACACCATTTCTTTTTATAAGGGAAACGTGTTAGCATGAAATTGTCTTGTTTCTGACGAGCTAGTTTTAGGTTAAGCCGTTGATGACCCACTCAGTGACCTCATCACTGGTGTTTGTTTGTTGTCAATGTGGTTTTTTATAACAGGGTTATGGCACGTACGTTACTTTGGCTCCAGTACACTTGGTGTTGGCTGAAACTTAACAAACTTATTACTTGAGGAAACACCGTGGCGTTAGGAAATCTCAAGAATATGTTTTATATTAATCATTGGACCTTCCGCACTCAGTAAAATTTGACAAATGCTTGTTGTTCTCATTTCCTTTTATCACGCAATAGGAGTTATTCAGCATACTGTAAACAATGGCCGTACTGTATTTAACGGTTAGTACAAAAACTGCGCAATTGCGTTTACCGATCAGTTTTTATTCGAAAACATTAAATAATCTTAACAAACAATTTGGTCGATTCAAAAGTCATCTTCAGCAGTCTTCACCATTAAGATGAACAAAATTTTAGGGCGCAAGCAGGCTGGGGATGGCTCAATATATTTTAAGGCAAAACCTCCGAGACTGGAGAAAAACGAAGGAAAACAGAACAACATAAGGTCTTCGATTCGGGCTTTGACATGTGATAAGCTAAGCTACATAACCTCAACATTCAAGCGCAAGATCGCCACCTTTTTTCTGATCACAAGCCTCCTTACTGTCCGCTGCTTTATCGCGGGTAAAGTTCTCCATACGTTACCTTTTCCAAATAAGAAAAACAAAAGTGCGGCTGGAAGCTAGTTTATCCCGTAGTTTGTACTACGTTTCGAATGAACAAACAAAACAATGAATATCCGGGAAAGGTGTTTCGTAGGCGGCCGGCATCTGAGTGTTTTCACGCACATAAAGTGCAGCGGATATAAGCCGCTGAAATCAAAGTTACGTTTGGTGTTCTTTACTGTCCTAATGGCCAAGCTACTGCGAAACATTTTTTCCCCGATTCCCCTTTCTTCATCACGGGTTGATACCGGTCTTTTCTGCCAGTTCAGCTGCTCTTAGTAGGGTACACAGCTGAGTAGAAAATATTGTTTCTTAACAAACGCTCAAGGCATGACCTTTCTGTGATCGCGAAGGCGGCCGCCGTATGTTTGTTTTATTTTCTGCGTGCAGGCAACTGTTGGGTGGTGGCCTCGACGGCCATTTTGACCATCCACAAGGATCTCTTCAACCGGGTGGTGCCGTCCGGTCAAAGTTTCGAGGACGGCAAGTACGCGGGCATCTTCCACTTCGTGATGTGGAAAGACAACCGCTGGGTGGACGTGGTCGTCGACGACAGGCTGCCCGTCGACGAGGACGGCGACTTGGTCTTCATGACGTCAAACACGAAGGAAGAGTTCTGGAGCTCACTGTTGGAGAAAGCATACGCCAAGTGAGTTCAGTCGCCCATTACTTTTGATGCTGCCGTATTCGCAATAGGCTCATGGCGCATAACTACCTGGACCTTCTATTCCTTTCCAGTTATGTTGAATATTACAACGCTAATCCCTCTTTGACTAGGAAGCAAGAAAGACGTAACCTACTTGTTGAACAAATTTCAGTACTAATGCAGAATGGCGTTCTAATGGAAGCTAACCCAGATTTCGTATTCGTCCTTGGTGCGTGTGGCACGTCACGTGACTTGATGTCACGGTGCCATGTGACTCACGACGCAACGCCGTGGTGTCACAAGGTGTCAGTCAACAACATTAATAACTCTACTAACGTGTCAAATCGTGGTGTGTCGTTACGCTTCGCTACGTGACCGAGTTGCGTGACGTCAAGTCACATAACGTGACGCGACTTGACACCTTGACGTAACCAGACAACGTCGCGTGATATAATTATTTAGAGCGTGCCAAAAAAATTTATGTCATGAAAACCTAACGTTTCTCAAATTTCGCACTTCTGAATTGACGTGAGATCAAGAAATCTAAATACAGCTGCCAAACTTCTTAATACAGGTACTGCTAAAGGTATATTAGGACATTTAAAAAAAATTAAATAATAGGGCCTTTTACTACAAAATGGGATGCACGCAAGCAGCAGCATTTTTTGTTTTTGTACTGTCGAGACGGCATAACGGAGTAAACAATTCCAGCTGTATCATCTGTTCAAATTTCAGAACACGTTTTCCACTCTTTCATTTCCCCAGACTTCACGGAAGTTACACCGCGCTGGAAGGTGGTAGCGGCATCGAGTCCATGGCCGTCTACACGGGAGGACTCACTGAACAAATCATGTTGGATAAACCGCCCAAGAACCTCTTCAAGCTCATGGAGAAGGCGTTCGAAAGATCTTCACTTCTTACCTGCTCGAACATTGTGAGAACTCAACTCGCGATCGAATAATTTCAGTATGCACTAGGTGGGATTGAACGAGACAAACTGATTCGTACTACGTCGTACCCAGTTTCTGATGCTTCTTGGTGCGCGTCTATTTGAAACCAGATTTACGAGCACTAATGAACAAACTAATACTTTTTTTTTTCAGTTTGGCATAAAAAGTGAAGAGCTTCTTATTCACGAGCTTAGCACTTCAGCAATTTGCTTTTCCAGAGTACCGAAATGCTGGCTAAATGTGTGCGTAAAACTTGGGGCGTTTTCAATCTGAATAATTTGTACAAACGCGAGCGCGTCGCTCTCGGTTGTGCTTCTCTGTCATGCTATGCTCCTGCAGGCAATTTCTTCTGCTGAACTACGCTCAGCCACCTAGACTATGTTATGACACTGTGCATCCCTTGTCTTATTGAGTATTGTCACGAATGACAAATTGTGAGGCGGCGAATAACTGGAGAAACTAAACGTTTAATGAGGCTAACTTGTGCCCAAAACAAAATAGAAGAATGTAAGCGTGGCAGGCGTCGAAGTTTGGCGGAGCAGCATGATCGAGTGCAAGAGCGATCCCGGACCGCCACGCGGAGCACCTTTTGTACCCACGTGGGTTTTTGGAACATGGTGGAAAATACGCCTTGCTGCCCTTAAGCATGAGACTAGAAGCTCCGCCTTCAGCTCGAGCTGGCTGGCTTCCGCAGTGGTTTGGTTGCGCGTGCCTGCACGTTCACACTTGTGTTAGCAAGGGGAGAAAACTCGCGCTGAAGGCGCGCGGAGCTTCTAGTCTCAGCTTAAGGGTAAACGAAGTATAGTCCTGTTTTAGAACCTTTTGAAGTTCCGAAATAAAGTTTCCAGAATGGCAAGCACACGCTCGGTGTTTCACACAACAGGATGAAGACAACTGCCCTGAAGGCATCGTTCCGCTCCACGAGTACAGCGTTACCGGCGTGAAAAGGGCAAGCGCTTTTTGTCCAATACTTTGTACATTAATTTATTAAAATGATTCAATTTGCAAACCTGTCGTGCTACATTGCAGGTTATGGCGACCGACGGCCAAGAAAGGCAACTTATTCGGTTGAGGAACCCGTGGGGCAGCGAGGAGTGGGAGGGAGCCTGGAGTGACGGGTAAGAAAACCAGCCATTCCAACAGTGAGGAATAGTTAGCACATATTCGTACTAGACCCTTAAACATTGCTGAATGTCCTTCCGCACTTTAGATCGAGCAAGTGGGAACTGATCACTGAAGAGCAAAGACGAGAAATGGGTCTGGCGGTGGAAAATGATGGAGAGTTCTGGTATGTGTTCAAGTGTATCCCCCTGTCACAAAGTTAGGCTAAAAAAGTAAGGGGCAGTTGGAGCGTTTCAAATGTCGCACGATCCCGAAGTCAGGGTGGAATGACGGCACATAGAAGATGCATATGTAGACCGCATGGGATGAGACAATGTATAAAATGTTAAAACTGCAGGAATTGAACAAAAAATTTTAAAAAATGTATTAGCATGTCTGGTCCAACTTAATTAGAAATTTCAATTTTCATTTAACCGGTTTGTGAAATTAATTTCGAGCCTATATATAGCTTTGTGGTGCAGCTGCGTGGGCGACTAAATTGATCTGCTGCTTCCCTTCGCGTTCAAAATCTCTAAAGCCGGGGTCGCACTGCTGTCTGAGCCATGTCTGCTGACGGTCTACAAACAACCGTTTTTGCACATTTGATACGGTACACACTGCGCATGCGCTACCGCAGAAGGCTCGCACATGCGCAATTCGTACCAGAGGGCCCGCCGTACCGTCTCGGATGTGCCAACACGGTTCTCTAAAACTCTACTGTCTGAGGAGGGTTTATTCCTTGTATGACGGTCACATTTGCCGTACAAAAACTGTCTTTGGACATGCTCGGACCATGGACGAAGCAAACGTGCGTCGAACATGCTTTAGGCGTGTGTGTAGATAATTCTGCCACCATGTCTGTATTTGTAACAGAATGGGGTACGAGCAGTGTGACTTGGGCTAGAAGGTACACGAGATTCCATCAGGTTGCCTGCAATGTACTTCTTGTGATGTTGTTGTTGTTGTTGTTGTTTTTTTGTATACTGAATCGCCTTTTTGTCTAAGAGGTGTTGAGAGTTGTATACCATATTCTTCTACAGGATACTCCTCAGGGATTTTCTCAAGATCTTCCAAATGCTTGATTTCTGTCACCTGGGGCCAGCTTCGTTGACAGACGAGATGAGTGGAGGAAATTCTAAAAGATGGGAGGTGTCCACCTTCGAGGGAGCCTGGATTGCGGGCTCCAGTGCTGGAGGCTCCGACGACGACATGGGTAACCGACATCGCCAAATCTTCCCTCGCGCTGATTGCTTCTTTAAAAAAAAAAAAAAAAAAGCAGACGCACGATATATTACACATTTAGCATCAAGTTCAAGTTTTATTCGCCTCAAGGACGTTCGTTCGAACGTATTACATGAGGGGTGTAGAAGAATGCAAACAAATGCAAAGATGATGATAACCGCGAATTAAGCCCATAATCTCATTGCGGACGCACGTCACGACACATAAGTTATAATAAATACTAATTGATAGTTCCAAATGTAACATTGTTCCTATGGACAGTGTTTTGTTTTTATGGGGGATGAGGGCTGAAAAGAAAGAGACAGCATTTGCAGTTGTCACCGCATTTATTTTGATGCAATAAGTTATGTTGAACATAGCTATAGTAATTGGTGTCCCAACCCGTTTTGTGGAAAAACGGCATCAAAGATATAGTTCTTTTTTTCCAGTTCCATGAAGACGCAGCTTAGCAGATTAACCTCCTATAAAAGAAATACCGGCCCCAAGAAGCTTTAAAAGAGGACGTCTACGACCTTAGACTAATTGCAACTTTCTTGGGCAGTTACAACTCTAGGCTTCAATCCGGCCGACTCACTCAATAGATCTATTGCTAAATAGACCGATCTCACCAAGCGTTCGACGCATGCGCGAGGCAGCCATAACTTTAGTTCACAGGAGCCAATCGGCAATGCACGAGACTGTTCGTGGCCTGCACGCGCAGAGCTCCAGCGCGGTTGTCGCACGCGCAGAAAGACTAAAGTTCCCTCGATGCATTGCGGCAGCGGTGGCGTAGTCAAACTGGCTGGTGAGATCGGTCTATTATCCAAGCGTCAAAAAGAATGCAGGGGCTAGTGTTCCACGCGCCGCACGTGCTGGCCTCAGCAGTAGTAACATTTCTAAAGCAAATGCCTAAAACGTATTGCGTCTTGCACGTGCGTTCATCAACGCTTTATTTGGGTTTTTACTTCGAACCTTTTATACGGGGAAGGCGCGCACATGTGGCGCGTGGAACACCAATCCCTGCATTCTCGTTGATGCTTAAGGAATTTAGCAATAGGTCTATTGACGGGACGATGAAAAGAATAAACCTGTACAAGGTTATTTTTTTTATCTACGATTTTTTTTTTCTTTGAAGATGTCGTTCGCATTCTTGAGCCTGTTCATGTTTCGACGCTTGCAGAAAAGTTTGCGACCAACCCGCAGTACTTGTTTACACTGGACGAACCCGACGATGACAACGAGGATGGAGAGTGCACAGTCATCGTGGCTCTCCTGCAGAAGAACCGCAGGGTAGCGGGGATCAAAGAGGACAGGTGGCGCACCGTCGGCTTCATTCTCTATGAGGTATACGTTTCTGGAGGGCATACGATTTAGCTATGCTCACCAACTATTGCTGTACAGCCGTTTGCAAGAACGGCCTCCTGACGCCGCCATCTTTCTGCTAGTGAGCGTTGCAGATGTCGTGGGTACGCCTCGGCAATGCTGGACTATCAGACGATCTACCCACACCAGCAGCGAGACGGCAGCGCCCAGAGGCCGTACTTGCAAAGAAACGTCTATGGTCACCGACAACTTAAGAAACGCAGGGCGAGGCGAGTCTCGAGCATCTTATTACCGCTCAACAGCCAATAGCCGATAAGAATTCAGAAATATCAATTACAAAGCAAGAAGTGTGATAAGTCTCGCCCTGAGCTTCCTAAGCCGCTGTCACACATGCTATGCTAAACGCCAGAAGGTAGGACGAGTGAAAGGAAGGCCGGGAAGGAGGGAGCATATGAAACGCTAGAGATAAACAATGCATCATGTCAAAATGGATGCTTGGGCATAAACAATGCATCAAGCACGGTGCCTATGCCCAACTCAGCACAAAAGCCGAAGTGGGTCAAGCTAGCATTCTCTGACGGCAGCTTTCGGAAGACATCCGGCATTAACATTAAACGCCACTTCGTTTATTGTTAGTATTTTTACGCTAAGACGTCAACATGTCCACAAGGCCTATGGGTATGTCCACATGCTTAGTTTTGGGTAAACACCGAGGTGGGGTGACAACAAACGGATCAGAGCGCCCCCTATGGTTCAACCTCTTCGCCAATAGTTCGATCCCCTCGCCAATAGGCCTGTTAGAGCCTGGGGTCGTACACTTTCAAAAGAAAAGGAGAAAAACGTCCAAGTACGAAAGCGGTCAATTAACGGAAACCTCGTTCAATGTAGGTTGAAGACCCGTGCAAATGTCCAGTCCCACTAACCCCAGAGTACCTGGAGGACAACACCAAGGTGGCCGAACACGGCGACCGAAACCACGAAGTGACCGCGAGGTTCCGGCTCCTGCCGGGAACCTTCTGCGTCATCCCGTGCACCCAGGAGCCCGATCAGGCCGGGGAGTTCCTGCTCAGGATTTACACCGAGAAGAAAAGCATGGCCAAGTAATCAGGACTGCTCGGACTACAGCACTTTGTTTGGCACCACTCTCAATGGCGCCATCTGCTGGGTAGCCCGGCAAACTTCCGGTTCACATATATTTCCTATTTTTTAACTCATCATTCTTTCACCACAAGAGTGAATTAAGTCTGACAGTGCTATAGGTCGTGATTTACAGAAGATAGAGTGCGTATTTGATTTCGCCAATACTGCGAAACCCGCCGTCTAATTGAGAACCGGAAGTGGTTGGGGCCGATTTCCGCAATCGTGCTACCACGTTTCAACTCACACAAGAGAGAGCTAGTAACGGATGCATAGACGGAAAGAAGGATGGATAGATGCACGCAGGAGGGCTGTTTCTTTTAGTCTAAACCATGGCTTGCATCAAGCAGGCAAATATTGTTTCCAGTATTACAGAAAGTGCGTTTGAACTAGATCGTTTTCTCTTAAATTTAACCATAATTCCTCTAGCAATTTCTAACCTTATTCTACCCTCTGAAATTTTTACACCACGTCCGCACTCAGGACTTTGAGAAAGTTTGTGGTGCTTCTGGCGCTGTCTATGACGTTGCGTCAATTCGTTTTTATGACGTCATGACATTGAAAATTTCGGTGACAAAACCTCGACAAAGCACAGATACTTTAAAAAGGTCGCTGAGTTTTGCTAGTGGTTTCTTAACTCACTGATAAAATCCCCGAAGCTTATTGATTTCTTTCTTTCAATTTCAGAGAGCATGATGAAGTTGCTACTGTCATGGAGAAAGCACCTTTTGTGAGTAGGGTCCTTTTTGTTTTCTTTGCCGCCCCTATTTTATCCTCCTGTTGTTACTTTTCAATATAAAACACTCTCGCAGGCAGGCACGCAGCCAGGGGAGAGGCCCATGGGGCCCGCCCCCCCCCCCCCCCCCCCGAAATCTTTCATTTTGCTGGGACATCCTCTCCCCCCTCCCCACATACAGCATTGTGCCATGGGCGGGCCCCCCCCCCCCCCCCCCCCTTTTCCGAACCAAAATCCTGGCTACGTGCCAGCTCGCAGAGCATACACATGACATGATATAAACAAAATAAAGAACATTTACGAGTAATTTGAACCCCATAGGAGTCACTTGACGTACCGCCAAGCCCCTGAAGCCGTAAATAGCTATGGTCTATTGCAGGCTCAAAATAGCTCTCTGCTCGCCATGATTGGTGCTTTCCTCCACTCTACTCAACTCCTCTCCAGCATTCGCTCTGCTAAAGTGGAAAGAGTGAATGGCTTTGTCGAAGAAGCACGTTCTGCTATTCTTAACCTGCAACAAAGTATATACATAGACGCTTCAAACACGCGCCATATTCAGCCACTCTAGCCGACCTTGTCTTGTTTTGCCGAGATGCCGAGCAATTGAAGCGGGCGTTTACCAGCCTCCACAGAGGCCTATGCTCGGGAAAAGGACGCAGTAGCACCTGAAGTGCCAATAACATCTCCTGATATGGCGATGAAGAAGTGAACCGAACGGAATAAGCGTAAACAAAAACTAAAGGCCGGTTATGGCGGCGCCCATGCACAGCTGCCTGAAAGCGTCTATACTGACTGGTCCTTCCAATCACATTCTTCACCTGCTTTGACTAACCGTTCACTACTCTCGTTTCTCCGAAGACCCTGGATAAATGTCCCATAGATCAGAACGGAGAGGCACCGAAACCGGACGAAAGTAACGAAGTGAATGGAGAAAGAGAAGAGCCCGACGAGGAGGAGATCGACGAGGCCCTCAAGAAATTGTTTACGGAAGTCGCCGGTGACGAGGAGACCGTTTGCTGCTGGTCGCTGCAGAATCTTCTGAAGAAGGTGTTCGAGAGAGGTTATGGCTTTTACTTTTGTTGTTGTTTTATTGTTGCTGTGCTGTTTCTGTTGCGTTCATGTTGTTGTGCTGTTATTTTCTTGTTTTGCTGTCGTTGTTTTGTTGCTTTTCTTTTTGCTGTTACTATTGTTGTTGTTTTTCTTGTTGTTGTTGTGGTCGTTGTTGTTTTGCGTTCTGCCACTCTTTGTTAATGTGTGTAGCTTTCTGAGTTCAAATGTTGCGGGAATCCCATGAACGTTATTTTCTGCCGTTCAGCCTCTTGCAAAAAAGAGTCAAAATGTTGACAAACTAGGCTCAACAAGTTGAACCTATAGCTGTGACACAAAAAAGCAATCAGCTACAATGTTTTTGGGTGCTATTTTTCCCCATAGGTAGTATAGCATACTTTAACTGACTCTTTGAAAGCAGCCTTTAAAAAAAGTCTACGGTTAAATGTTTGTGAGAAAACGTCGGGAGAACAAAGGGTTCTGTGAAAAAGCATAGATTTTTTTTATATTAATTTTCCCTTTTTGTTCGAAACGCAGAAGGTACAAAAAAAGTGTTATTGCTTCTACGATATTCAACTATCGCTCTCTAAAACTACAAAACTTCCAGAGGGCAAACCCATCGAGTTCTCCCTGGAGCTGTGCCGAAGCATGGTGGCCCTCATTGATGTATCCTTATTGCTACTCGTTTTGTTTATCTGTTGTAATTGTATTTAAATCGTGTCTCGTGATACGCAATACTTAAAGGAAAACTGAAGAAGTTCTGTATTTGAAAAAAAAAAATATACCTTAATGGCCTTTTATTTTGCCCCCGGCATTGCGAATATCAAAATTCTATTTGAGATCAATGCGTCAAGCAGCCACACCAGCTGCTTCAAAATAGCGCTGAAGCCCCTCGTTCCCGTCGCGTTCGGTACGAGGAAGGAATCATGACGTATTATACAGAGATTTCAACATTTTTGCGCTTTCCGCAAGCTATACCCGAGCAGTCAAAAGCACTGCACGCGTTCCCTCATAAGCTTCACGCGCAAGGCAACTGAAACTTCTGGAAATGACGTCACACCCAAAAGTTTTTTTTTTTTTTTTTTGTTTTTTTGTTTTTTTTTTCTCGTGTTTATCCATAAGGTCGGGTTAAATGCTCGTGATATTCAAATTCACGAGAGAAAAATAGGCTGCGATTAACATCTGGCTCGTGTGTTTATTTTCGTTTTTCAAGAACTTCTTCAGCTTCTTTTCAAAATGAAATCCATCCTGTGTCGAAGAAGCCTTGACCAATATTGTTTTGAAGGACGACTATACCGGGACCCTAGATCTGAGTGAGTTTGCATTGCTGCACAAGCACATCAAGCAGTGGGAGGTATGACTATCATTTCTCATGTCCTTTCTTTCACGGCTGAAGTTCGTTTGACATGGCAGCTTTTATATAGGCATTGAACTACCTCATTATGAATATCAAATCCCCTTAACAAGTACACGTCATAAATGTATTAAATATTTGAAAATCGTATACGCTGTGCATTGTGTGTTTTAGAGTGTTTGTTGCTTAGCCCGGATTTCTAGCTAGTAAACTCGCAGCACTCAGACGTAGGAGTAACCCCCAGTGATAAAAAAGTACTCTTGACACAACTGTAACCTTTTTCCTTCTTACTTGAACTTGAGCTTCTTACCCTAAGTTGTATAAAAACGAGCCATATTTAACAGATATATGTCGACTTTTAGTGGCCTTTATTTTCTGCATCTACGTACTAAAGAATTAAGCTACTCTTTCAACCAGAATAAACACGTTGAAGTGTCCGCATTTTGAAGAAGTTGTCACTTTAAGGTTAGCCCTCGCACTGGCCACGCTGATAAATTAGTGTCAGAGTATGAGATGTCGTCGCAGTGTCGCTTCACATCGAGGTACCACGTGACGGCATAGTGTTACATGGCGTCAAGGAGTTGCGTGACACCATCACGTCACGTGCCACCGTGATGGCAATTTACATTCATGATGTCACGCAACGGAATGGATTCATGTGACGTAATGGTATCAGATGCCATTTCATCACGATGTCATGTGATGGTGTTGTGACGGCACAGTGTCGCGAGTCTCATGTTTTGTTTCAGGAAGCGTTCAAGGCCCACGATAAAGATTCCTGCGGTTTTCTGAGCATTTATGAACTGCGCAAGGCGCTCAAGTCCGCGGGTGAGAATTGTGCATTCTTACAAACAAAAAAGTATGGCGTCGTGCCACAAAAGTAAAAAGCTTGTCAGGATTTTTTTTCTTAGTGATTCTTTTGTTTTTGTATTAGGGCCTTTGACTTCACATCATCAAATATTTAGTTCAGTCTGTTCGCGTTACTAAAAATAATTAAGAATAAAACGATTACAATGCGAACAATTAAACGAGCATGATACAAGAATTCTTTAAAAAAAAAAAAAAGCTAAACCCCCTTTTAAAAAAAACATATATATATATATATATATATATATATATATATATATATATATATATATTTCTACGACAATATTTAAGTCGCGAGATAGATTTTGAATTAGGAGCAAATCTGTAACATATATGCTTCTGTATCGGGACGTCGAGCCGCGAGACTCAAAAGTCGAAAATGGTGCACTACAAAAACCTTTATGCCTCGGAAAATTCATTTTGCTACACATAAGTCCTATCAAACCATGTCTTAAAAAAAAAATTGAAAGATCGCTACAATTGTTAAGGTAACGTGGGAAGTTGGGTACCTAGCTATGGTGTACCGTTACCCGTTCGGACAGCCGAGGAAGTGAATGTCATTGCTTACTCAGCTGCAACCATAACTTTTTTAAAGCCGCAGTCAGACTCATCATACAGAAGACGCAGTGTTCGCTGCAGAGACGATGACAGAAGTATCAGCAGATCGAGCAAGTTCGAAGCTGCTTCGTGCATGCTCCGATTATCTCGGCACACAGTTTATGCGTGACCAATACGACCGTCATACAAGGAACGCTCCACACAATGGCTGCAGACTTCTTTTGTAAGACGACTAAGCGGTGCGACCGCGTCTTAAGGCTCGTCATCATAGGGAAACATTTGTCTTCTCACAAAGCCTAGCAGTTCAACGGCGGAGCCATGGAGTGCCCGGTCGCCGATTCGGAGCGCGAGGATCTGGTAGCACAGAGCATTTAAGAGCCATTTCTCGAAGAACCTGGACGCCAGCGCACAGCTTTTGCAGTGGCGAGGACCCAAAACACACTTGTTCGCTTGGGAGAAGTGTTTTTCGGCGTCTTGCCGCCGCGGGGCGCCGTGGCTCTCCTCTCATCCGTTGTTTTCCGCTCCTCCACCTTTTCCATTTCGGCGGCCGCTTCTCGTGGCAATCTGCCAGGCTTTGTCAAGCTATAGGAGGCTATGCTTCTGTTAGCTTCCTCCAGCTTTTTTCTTCATTTTTTTTCTTTTTTTTTTGTAACTGCTTGTTGAAGTTTTGGAAAGAATTTATATGTACACTAAAGTCATTTATCTACTACTTCGAAACACAACGGCTACTGAACGGTTCCCAGGTTACTGCGTCAACCAGCACGTGCTCAAGGGACTGGTGCTTCGCTATGGCCACGACAGGAAGATCAGCTTTCAGGACTTCATTGGATGCGCCGTGAAGCTCATGTGCATGATCGGTCAGTGAAAATATTTGTAACTTATCATTGGTCGTGGCATGAAGAGCGATGTTTCTCTGAGATAACCACAGAGCTGAGAATGCGTACTGATTTCGTTTCGATCGTGTGTTTCTTTCCGTAGATATTTACGACCAGTGGGATCCAGACAAAGAGAACAGCGTTACAGTCACCAGAAATGAGGTATGAACGAGTGTTGTGTAAACATTTAGGTTTTTACTTTGATTGACGACAGTTAAATGACTTTAGTCTTCCTCGGGCTCGTCTCCTGCTAATCACCACCACGTCACTTCCGAATTTTATAATATCCTGTATTCTTAGAATTCTCATTGATGGCAGTACGGCCGGGTCTTGTCAAAGTCTATCTTCTTTCAGTTGTTGAATACTTCAAAACTGTTTGTAGAACCTGAAGGAGCAAAGCTATGAAATGGGAAGAAACATACATGTCTAAGAGTTTGTTTGAGGAAAGCTGGATTCCGTGCAGTGTCTGAAACAATTTTAGAACTGTGTTTTTCTAGATAAATACGATAATTGGTGTGTAATTTTCCTATATTGACATTCTCGCATCTTCTTTTAATATTTTCTGGCTAATGAGTTAATTCCAAATGTCAATCTGTCATCTACGCTACAGAAATTACTATTATAAGCAATCATTTAAGGGGGGCGTTTAAGATAAAGAAGACATACGCAAGAATAAAATCATTGGCTTTCACAGGCGCAAGTCAATCTATTTTTGAAAATATTGGTATTGTTCTACTGAACCCGTCGCAAGGCGCACATGCCACCGACATTAAAACTTGCTTTCTCTATTTTCAGTGGCTCAAGATCACCATGTACTGCTAGTTCTCTGAACCGCACCTTGATCCTACGAAGACGACGTCAAATAAAAGAAGAATTTCCCAGCTTCACATAGTTTAGGAAACGCAAAAAGCTTCTCGTGAAAAGCCTCGCAACGAAAGCCGGCGGTTTGCTAAATCACAGGAAGCAGGACTGACCACCAACAATATACCAGCTAGGCGCGACACGCAAGAAAGTCACTTAGAGCCAAACTTTTCATCAAATCGTAATGTATGATCAAAAAACCTTTTTTTTTTTAATTATTATGGAGGATGTTTCTATAAACTGCTTCACTAACTACAAGATCGTTAAACGCAGTATCTAATTCGTGGTAAGATATATGTTTCGCAAATATACGAAGTGGAACTCACCAAATAAATTTACTTCGCCAAGGTCACATCTCGTGGGAAAACTGTCCCATATCTCTGCGCTGCCGGTCTTAAGCCCCTAAATGTCTCGTTGTGCCTAGGATTGTCTCTGTAGTCTATACTTTAGTTGTTATTATCGATCATTTATCGAATAAATGACATATGATTCATGGAGAACCTTAGCATGCCTCAGACTCGATATTAAAGCATGAAATGTTTTTAACGCTATACCCCGAATCCCAAAATTTTGTCCGTCCGTCCGTCCCTCCATTTCCGGCTAAATTTAGCGGGAAAATTGATGTCACGTGACCTATACACGACTTCAGTTTCCCCGCTAAATTTAGCGGCAAAATGGATGTTTTGCCGCTAAATTAGATTTCCCTGCTAAATTTGGCGGGAAAATCGATGTCATAACCAGTCGTCACGTGACCTCTACCCAAATGTATTTCCCCGCTAAATTTAGAGGGAAAATCGATCATTCAAAGGCATGAGTTATGATACTTTAAAAGTCGATGCCATTTTTATTTTTATTTTAATTACAGACACGCAAGGGGAAGATAATGTATATACCAGTGACAATTTCCATCTCTCAGATGACTGCCGAGCCGAGGATTAAATCTATAATATACGCCAGGTGGCTTATCACACACTGTATAACTAAGAAGATGACTTAGGGCTCTGCAAAATGTCTCTAAAGCAGCGGTGACATTGCTCGCACATCGTACAAAACACGGGGTGTTCGGTGCAGATCAGGATGACAGAATTACCTGCGGGAACGTTAGACGCACATGCTCCAAGAAAACGTCTTCGGAGAGTTTTTTTTTTTTTTTTTTTTTTTTTTTTTTGTGCCTTTAATGAGATCGTCACACCAGGAAGGCGGTGTTTGCAGACTGTCTTTTGTGTACGATGTATTAGCTGTGTGACCGTTTTAAGGGCGAAGCTCCTTAAGGTTTAGCATTGTCCGGCGTCCGTGCTCACATCGATTGCACTGCCTCCCAAAATCGGCCCACTTAAAAAAAAAAAAAGAAAAAAAACGTACGCCCGCACGGGGGTTCGAACTCCGGACCGCTTGCTTACGAGGCAGACGTCTTAAGCACTACGCTACACTCCAAAGTTGCATGCAGCCGCTCAACGTCTATACAAGAGAGGGCGCTGCGGTCAAACGCGTATATAATCGCGTTAAATTTTGCATGCATTGCAAATGCATGCAAAGTTTGCATGCATTTGCAAACTTTGCATGCTCAACTGCGTATATAACCACGATCCATACCACATATTCTCTTTCTGACATGGACGGTTGACTTAAGCGGTGGAGATGCGTTCGGCGGATCCAAGCTGATGCGCTAGAAGAACCACTGGCTCTGCATTTCACCGACCATAAAGCAGTAATAATGAATTCGAAACGCAAACCGGAACACAGCACTACCTATGATCAATAAAAAAAAAAAATCAGCGCCATGAGCACTACCTATGAACAATGAAATCAGTATCATCAGCATCACTAGAGCTTCGCCCCAATCAACATCATTCACCACGTGGATATGCGTCCATTTTTTTTTTTTTTAAGTACAAAAAGACACGAATTTGAGGCTATTTTGAAACGTCACGTAAGCCAAGTGCCTATAGCACTTCTGTTTTACCGTGCGCAATGTCGAAGCAAGGACAGGTCAGAACTGACCGACCATGATTCTTGCGTTACCACAACTTGACAGGGATTTTCCGGGCAGAGTCCGCAATGCAATTTAGGCGCTCTTCTAGGCTGTAAACAGCGCGGCACTCTCAGCGCAAACACGACTTTGGTGCTTTGTTCGAAATTTACTTCGAAAGGGAACTGGCGCGGGCACCAAAAGTTTACCACTTAATCTAGTACCCCAACGACCTAAGTACTTTCCACAACTACAGCAGTTTTTATGACAGTCCCTCGACTCTCAAAACAACAACAGAAGAAAAAAACTCCAATGGTTTGCTCAAGCTAACAGTGTCGCGGAGTGCACGAGATGGTGTTCAGTTGTGAGCAAGTTTCTACCACCCGGCGTCTCTGCCAGTCAATTTTCACCTTGGTATTATCATTTCAAAGATCATATGGCGTGCGGAATGTATTTTAACTTGAGCCGGGCAATTACTGTCGAGCATATTCTGTCAAAAACTTGGCATTCTCGTGTCAGGAAGGCACACAGTAACATTCTGGGCCCTCCCAAACTCAAAGCTTTCCTGCTTAACCCGATCTCGCGCTTCCTTTTTGTGACCTGGCTAAGTTCGGCGTACCGCTCATGACGAACTTTACACACGCCCGTTTGAGCCTGTGAGCGGGTCCTTCGCCCAACAAATTCCGCAAACATCTTGGAGCTGGCCCAGAAGAAACTGGAACCCTTTGTCCGCGTGTTTACGTCGGAGCGGGTTGAACATAGTAACCCGACTTAGCTATTCGAACCCCGGCTAAATCCGGAAACAAAGCATTCGAGCGTAGACTGGCGGCACTGGCGGCAATCTATTTTTGTCACAAAACGAGAGGAGCCCAATCTAAAAAAGAGACAGACATGTCGTTGTCTCTATAGAGCTGGCAGCGCAACCGTGCTCGGCTCGTGTATCAAACTGTCTAGGACAAATATGCCCTGGCAAATTGAAACTTTACACCCCGTCGGCTAGAAACTCAATAAAAAGAAATCGTCCGTAATCATCTCACGTAAACGCTTGACCTCAACCCTTGCATCAGCGAAGTCTCGGTGCCAAGAACAGAAGTGTGCGAAAACAATTGTTTACTAAGAAACCGGGTGGGTTTGCGGCGCCTTACAATGACCAAGCTCTGTTGAGCTCTAATATTGATCACCTGTTGCTTGATCGCACGTCAAACGAGCCCCTGTACACTTCTTTATATACATATATATAGATATATAGCGGATGACTTTTTTTAAATCGAACAGATTTATTACAAAAAGAAATCCGTAAAAGATGCACTTATGAGGTTTGTGCGGGTGAGTTATACGGCCAGGGAGACATTATTTGAGTTGTGAGAGGTCGGCAAAATAATTTAAATTTGTTAATTAACTTTTTAATTTGTGAAAATAAACATATGGTTCCAATTAGAAACTTAGAGAGCGTCATCGACACCAGAAAATCAACCCTTTTTAGAACAACTTGAAGCTCGTGGGAAACTAGGGGACGCGCCACAGTTACCACTCGTCAAGCAGGCGCAAAGGTAGCAAGCAGTTGCTGAACGCGATAATGATCTGATCCGCGTTCGGCCACGGCTCGCTTTGCGCCTGCTTCACGAGTGGTAACTGTGGCGCGCCCCCGAGTTTCCCACGAGCTTCAAGTTGTTCTAAAAAGAGTTGATTTTCTGGTTTCGATGACGCTCTCTAAGTTTCTAATTGGAACCATATGTTTATTTTCACAAAATAAAAAGTTAATTAACGAACTTTAATTAACTAGCCGACTTATCGCAAAGATTAGCCACCCACATAATATCCCCCGGCCATAAAACTCACCTGCACAAACAGCATTAGTGCATATTTTACGGATTTTTTGTAATAAATCTGTTCGAATTGAAATAAATCACCCGGTATATCTTACCCAGAATTTCATCAGTATATGAGCGGCTGTTCACATTATGAAAACTTTCAGTTCATGGCATTTACGTAAGCGTTGCAACAGGCTCGCCGGGAAATTTACAAAATTACGTTACATATGCGATTGATACGAGCAATTTCGCCTGTGTTAAACATACAATAATATATCATATGCTTCTTCCTTAGTCCTTTATTTATTTATTGCTTTGGTTTTTCTAATATTCCCCGTGAATGTTTGTTCAAGTTGGTTTGCAAACGGTTTATCCCTTGCCAAGTTTTCACGTTTCTAAAGACCAAAGAAAACTTCATTATCGAAAACTGGGCTTGCGTAAAAAGAACCTTCTGACGGAGAACTTTAGTGGTCGTGGGCTTTAATATTGTCACAAATAAAAAGAAACTTGATCAACAAAACTTAAATTTAACGTTTAATACGGCGAACTTGTGCCAAAAAACATTTAGGTAACAAAGACGGTACACATTTGACGGCGAGAGAAGAAACCCCGACTCAAACAGCTATGCGAGGTTCCTTTTGTAAGCGCGTGGGTATTTACAAGTTTTCGAGCTCGAACAAACAAGATTATCGAGTCATCTGGAACATTCCAGTCGTGCAAACAAAGATTATAAAAAAAGGACAAGCGCTGGAGGGGATCGAAACCCAGTCAGCGGCGTGAGAGTCGAGCACGCTGCTGACTCAGCTATTCGCATGCTCCCGTATTGAAAATACTCCCGTATTGAAAAAACGCATCGGGACGATGCAACAGAAAATGAAATTGACAACTCAGAACAAGAGAAGGCCAAACTACAGAGTCACCTAAAACACAGGTTTTCACAGTCCTATCAAGCGTAGTTCAGTTCGAGTCGGACAACGTGAACCACCTTCAGGTCGCAGAAGGCGGCATGACAATGTTCATGATCGGTCGGGCGACAGCTTGCAGTTTAGGTCCCTCAGGTAGCGAATAACCTTGAGGCCAAAGCACCACTTTAACAGATCATCACTGGGACGATGTATTGGCGTTCAGATCCATACTTGGTAGCCGGGCAGGAACTCAGTGTCGTGGCGACAAAGATTGTACCGGCCATTGTGAGCAAGTTGTTCGGCTTGAATCAAAATGCGGGCGAGCTGGCGGACTTCCTCCGCTCGTTGAGTGACGAACCGAGCGTCGTCGTCCTGTTCGTCTTCGTGGTCGACATCACACTCGTCGTCGGGTTCGTCATCAAGGTCGTCGCAAAGGCTGGGGTCGGGATTGTCGTTAAAGTCATCGTCCGGGTCGTCCTTGGGTCGCCGTCGAAGTCGTAGTCGGGATCGTTGTCGATCTGGTCGTTCGAGACGTCGCATGTGTTATCGTCAATGTCGTCGTCAAGGTCGAAGACACTGTTTGTTTTTATATTTGATCGATTTTACAATAAACGCCAGACTATTTTCAGAGCGTCTATACTTTGTTTAGAAACAGCCGACGCTACGAGGTAATGGGACCAATTAATAAGAGCAAGTCACTTTCTTGTTTGGTTCAGCGATGATGGTACAGGTACAAAATCAGGACCATCACCAGGATCGGCGCTTCTGACGCTGTCTCAATGCTCCCATCAGCTCGTAGCTGATGGAATTATTATTCTCA